AGGTTTTTCATAGCATAGCCAAAAATGCAAGCAAACAACACATAAGAAACACTCATACAAAAGGAACTCAAAACATAAAGTTCGGATAACGCCTCCTAATACCGTCCTCCCTCTCCCAAGTCGCCTCAGTCTCATCGTGTTGGCTCCACAGCACCTTCACCAAGCTCACTGCCCGGTTCCTCAGTTGATGGACCTTCCGGTCCAGGATAGCTACCGGCACCTCCTCATAGGTAAGGTCTCGCTCGACCTGCAGCTCACCGAAGTCCACCACATGATCGGGATCATGCACATACCTCCGAAGCATGGAGACGTGGAACACGTCGTGCACACCCGACAAGTCTGGTGGTAAAGCCAGTCGATACGCTAAGTTCCCGACTCGATCGAAGATCTCGAACGGTCCAATATAGCGAGGTTTAAGTTTCCCCTTCTTCCCGAAGCGAATCATACCTCTCATGGGTGAAACCTTCAAGAAGAGATAATCTCCCACTGCATAAACATGCTCCTGCCTCTCCCGGTCGGCATAGACCTTCTGCCTCTCCTGGGCAGACCTGATGGTCTTCCGAATCTCCTCAACGGTCGCTGCAGTACTCTGAACAAAATCCGGACCTGTAATCGTCCTCTCTCCGACCTCATCCCAATACAAAGGGGTCCGGACCTTACGTCCGTACAAAGCCTCGTACGGGACCATCTTGATCGAAGAGTGATAGCTATAGTTGTAGGTCAGCTCGACTAGCGGAAGGGCATACTCCCAAGTCAGGCTTCGGTCCAAGACCACAGCCCTCAAAATATCCTCCAAGTACTGGATCACACGCTCCGACTGACCATCTGTCTGGGGGTGAAAGGCTGTACTGAACTCCAACCTCGTCCCCATGGCTCGGTGCAACGTCCTCCAGAACTGGGATGTGAACTTGGCATCTCGATCTGAAACAATCTCCACAGGCACTCCATGAAGTTTAACGATGTCCTTGACGAACAATTCGGCGTAAACACTCGCCTTTATGGTCGTCCGCACTGGCAGAAAATGGGCAGACTTCGTAAGGCGATCCACTATCAC